GAATAAATAAGTATAAAACACAGTGTAAAAGCAATTTGATTCCATTGTAAAATAGCAATAATAAATATTAGCGAGACAACTTTTTGTTTTTTCTCCGAAATCCGCTCAAACGAAAGGAAGAACCACCATGAGAAGAGCTCAGAGTTTTCTCCATTTCAACGCGCCTTTCACCGCTAAACATTTCGGTAGCAGGGGAGTTTAAAAACGCTGGACAACTGAGTCGGCCTTCTAGTTTCTTTTTATCGTTTGTGGATTTTTTACTTAGAGAAAGTCTCGAAAACCACGATCTTCTGTGCTTCACATGGCGAAACTCGAATTGTTGATATTGAGTTGAAGTCGGTTGGTCGTTTTGTGCGGAACAACAACGAGTTGGTTCTTTCTGTAAATCAGGTAAATCCTCGAATACATTCTCCATGTTTTCATCTTTTTCTGACAACCTTTCAGTGCTTTGCGTGGGAGAGTTACACTTATAAGAATCAGAGGAGCTGCCACCAGAATTAGTCATTACACGAACAAACTCCTGGTAGCTCACTTTTCCATCTCCATCCATATCAGCTGCTTTAATCATTTTCTGTTAAAAGAATAAATATTTGAAATGAGATACATTTGAACGAATCAAAATAACTTACTTTATATTCTTAAGTAACTTTGTTAATGAGAAAGTAAAAATCATACACACAAGCAAAAAGCACTAATTAGGAGATTTCATTTCTTAATGTGATGCAACTTAAATTTCAAAGGTTTGAACATTATTCCACTTTTTGAATACCTACCAATAATTCATCATCTGTTATGTCATCTCCGAGTCGGGAAAGCATGTTCCGAAGTTCATCGGCCGTAATGTATCCGTCTCCATCCATATCGAACTGTCGAAATACGAGATGCATTTCATCTTCGGCAATGCAGTTCTGTGATGTAAATAAATATTTATAAAACATGATGTGACATCGAAAAAAACCTTTCCTTTACTTTATCAGTTAAGCAAAATTATATTTCCAAGTTCCTTTCACACAGAACTGTAGTAGTAACACTTACCGTGACAACAACTGACATGAGAGCGATGAATTCTTGAAAATCTACAACACTGACTGTTTTTCGGCAGTCGGCACCAATGATGTTTCGAAGAACGTGATCAAGATCGCGGACGGTAACTTTATATCCAATCTTTCTGAGTATTAGAACAACGTCCTGTGAATAAAATATATGAAAAAATTATATTAGCTTCATAAACGGGTCAAATGCCAAACATTCATAACTTAGTGAATGAAAATTACTAAGTGCAATTGAAGTACGCACCTCAATACGAAGAACACCAGTTTTCCTCGGATCAAAACATTTGAATGTTTCTCTATAATCCATGAGTAACTGTTTGGGTAAATATTCTTCTACTACTTGCCATGTAGTGTAGTTGTATTGGATGTTGTTTGTTCCAACAGTAACCATCGCTACTACCATCGTATCCCAAAAGCGAAGCAACGCGACGGCAACGTGGGCGAATGTTCACTGATCGTAAAATGTGGGCATCTTTTATACTTCGCGCATTGACGTTTGGCGAAAAAATGTTTTCGAAATCGAGAGAAGTCGATTGCAAAATTTTGGTGTTCGTTATAGATACTGCAACGTCGAGATTGATTATCCATAATGTCCTAAACGATTTGCATAATCAACTCATATATGTTGTTTATTAATTATCAATCCCGTCTCATTTACAATTTACCAGCGAGTTAATTCGCTTCGAGCCCGAAATATTTATGCCTATGACGCTTGGTGGGATATTATTTATGCTTATACTATACACTTTTGCCATAAAAATACCAATGTTAAATAGTAGTAGGATACTTGGTACTTTTTCATGTTCATATATAAGATATCTTGACTCCAACACGTAAGCCACCAGAAGTCTTGTATATATCCAAAGCTCAACCCCTGATACAGTGTGTAACCAATTCGATTGAATAAGCAATAGGTTCTAATTTGACTCTCATCTAACAGACTGTAGTAGCATCTACGATCTTTTTGGCTGACAGTACACGTAGGAAATAACGCTAAATTTGGGCACATCATCATTCTTAATAAGTCTAGAAACATAAAACATGAAACTAGAAACATAAGTCATGAAATTTAGAAGTGTTTAATTCACAGAGAATAATACAAAATGGAGAACTCATATTCACAGATTTGACTCCAGGAAACCATTTGTAAATTTTATGATCTTGACTGCTCACGAACAAGTTTGATGCTGTTCTACTTTCAATCTCAATTTGTGCATGAAGCCTGCCACATTCTCTTCCATGGCGAATCGTTTGAAATAGCCCAGAGCATTCCGATAAATAAAGTCTCAACATTACCCTCATACGTTAATTTCATAGCTCTACATTTTATTTTTATTAAAATTTATATTACAGGCCATTAAAAATAAAAATCGGCACATATCAGTCTATACCAGACGAGCAATAAAAATACTCCATCGATCGGGGTTTAACTAAACCTTATTAAAATTGGGTTCAAGTGTAGGGAAGGAACTTCAATGTGTATTTGAACAATAGACTTCAAATTATTTATTGCGCTATAAGTTTATTTTTGTTTGCTTTTAGGTATCTAGTAGAACTCTGTTACTATAGGAATATAAATTGAAAAGTCTAGACATGTTTCGCTCGGCAAGTAATAAAACCAAAGAATGTGTTCTGCTTCTGTTTCCACATATATAAAACATTTTCATGGTTTAAAATCGTTTGATTCCGTGACAATGCCAAATGATAGCGCAACAAAAAAGCAAATATCAAGGCGATGATTAATGCCACAAACCAATTGCTCTGCATTTGTACAGATTCAATCAATATGCATGAACGGTCAAGCACGAGCCGACAATAAAGGCTATAAAATGGGTCCCAAATCGGTTCTTGCCTGGAAAAGTACACCGTATTGGCAATTTTGGTTCGTCCGGTGTGTTGAAATGGTGTTATTTTATTTGTTGTCACGGATGTAAAATCACAATATAGGGTGAAATAGGTTCTAGCCTGGAAATGTACACGGTATTGAACATTTTGGTACGTCCGCTATGTTGAAATAGTGGTATTTTATTCGTTGTCATGGATGTAAAATCACAATATAGGGCGTGCCACTGCTTTAAAATCTAATATTTGTCTTTCAAATGTAGTGATGCAATCAATAGGGGTTATCAGGCACCTCCGTTTTATTTACTTTCGTGTCATTTGAAAGTTTAAAGAAAGTCCCATTTTACGTTCCCTGTCGGATAATGACTTGTTAAACCGATACATGGCGACATAGCGTACACGATTCGCATTTCATAATGAGAAAGCAAATTAATTTTATCCAATGGGATGGGAAGCAATTGACTGAATTGTATAAATAAATTTACAAAATGCAACGAAGTGGTAATTGAAGTGCGGCGCCCAATTTGTTTTCATATTACAGAATTTAGGTGCGAAGGCATACAGCTCTACATGTAATACCAATGATATATTTAAGTCATATACGCCTATATCACGATAGTAGATCCACAATAAGTGCAAAGATAATTCATGTATATATATGCTATGCGTACTAGTGTTAAACGAATCGTTAGTGCTGGTAACCAACATGTAATAAGATATGATTTAGATGTTTATCCCGGATAGGATATACACAGTTGGCCAGGGGAGAGGAAAGTCGATGATAGATGACTCAATCAATCATATGGCGAACCACGGCTTTCGTCCGGTTACCAGTCCATGTCGGGTATGGGATTAGTTAGCCAGTTATTTGTTTTCAGATGCATGGACTTGATGGTAGAGGAAGCCGTAACCGAACAGCGGTTACATAAATCACCACGCGGCGGCTAAGATTCTCTCGTACATAATTATCACCCCGTGGCATTCGAAACTGCGAACCCACGTAGGGCAATCAGAAGGGTACAATTTAACATTGATTTTACCACAAATACAGAAGTGTCGAGATATTTAGATTGTGCATCATAGGGGGCATTCGATATAAGGATAATGCATGAACTCGCAGTTGATTGATTATTAATGACTGCGTGAACGGATGTGTGTTTCCACAACAGACTTTTGGAAATGTGAAAAATATCGTGCGTGCTGAACGTAACGTGCGTAATATGTACGTAACTGACTAACAATCGAAAATAATTCTAAAATAAATATGGAACAAATGTAATTTTTATTTTTCATGTAGTCAAAATACAAAAGCTACCATCCGTATGGAACGTATTGTGAGACGACGTAATAAAGCAAATAGTCGTTTAAACCAAGTTAAACCTTTTTGAAACATGTCATTTCAATTTACACCGAACATGAGTAAGTCATCGGTATCGATATAAGCTTTGAATTAGAAACGATTTTGCTGGTTTCTTATCGCAATTGCGTAGGAAACGGCCTCGAATTCAGCAGTTAGGTGTTTGTATTTCTCCGTCATGTGGTTGAATTTTATACAATATCGACCGATATTTAAATATTTGAATTACCTATGTGGCAAATAACAATGAAGCGTTCTAGGCATAAAAAATGACGAATGTTCGCTCTATCATTAACATTCTATTTGAAATTGAGCGTGATAAAATATTTTTACCGGAACTTTTTTACACTTCTGTTTTACGGGCTCAAATAGTTCGGTTCACGTTACAACTGAGTCACCTGATTGAGTACACAAATAGAAAAGTTCTGTAGGAATTTGTCAATTTACATTCAAGGTTTTTTCATGTTTAATCGATCAGTTAATTGAGTTGTTTGATGAATTTAAGACGTTTCATCGGACAAATATATTTCTTTCTTCATTAAGCCACAAGTTGTTGTTTATAGGCCGTAGTTATTGTGTTTGTATAGAACGGTTTTGATTAACAGTTTGTATTGTTTGTGAGTTTGAAATCCGTAAATTAGTCAGACTTCCATGTTGTGTATATTGCACCATCGATGTCTAAGCTACGTAATTAGTTCCGGGCCTGGAAACAACGAAGAGCGGAGAATGATAATCTTTTTAAACAATAGTTCTTTGCAACTGCTGCATATAAACATTTTAAAACGTTCGTGCATCTAAGCAGGCGATTAGTACCCCTAGATTTTTAGTTCGTAGAACGAGCGAATAAATTATTACAGAAATGTAAAGACATTTTTCTGCGAAACAATTATTTCTGATACTTCAAAATTATCTTCCTCCTTTTTATCAAAACACTTGTTCGTTAATTGGTAAAATTTAAAGTAGATTTGCTATACGGATGCTATTTTCATAGTGCTCACGTTCTGTAAATGTCGGTTGCGAGCGAGAAAATTGAATTACGAGAAGAAAAGCCATTGCATTCAGTAATATAATATATGTAATCTCAATTTATGTGGCATACATACTTGTTCCAGAACGCAACCACAATTTTATCAAAAAAATATTTATTTTTGTTTTACAAGAATGTGGAAATTATAGGAAATGTATGTGCAATGTGGTTGGTTTGTATTATAAGAAGAGCAATTACTTCTGGCGTTATGTACTTTTTGTAAAACATCTAGAAGTGAGAATCAATTACTGGCTGTTACAGATTGCACACTGGATTGGAAAAATTTTATTCTATAATCGAACCATTTGTTTAAACTTTACCTTAATTATTTTCCAATGAGAAATAGTATTCTCAAAAAAGTATATTCACCCTGGTTTAATTGGATATACTTCAGTATTCTATATGAAAAGTTTTTTTTTTCATACGATATAAACGTCCATTGCGTTGCCACAACTGATACACTAAATTTTAAATAATTTGGAACAAAATTAATTTGTAATGAAATCATTGTTTCAATGGAAACTTCTGAATAATAGTCAATTTATAAAAAGAGTTGGATGTATTTATCTATGCTGCTGTAAAATTAGGCGGTGATCCCTGTTACTCTTCAACCATGCACAACATTTAAGATGTGTGTCGCCAGTGGCATTTTTGAGAAGATGACTATTCAATCATGGGTGGCAAAGTCAGTATTATGATGATTTCTCAATAACATCTGAATTGCAACATCTGTTGGCTTAGTTGAATAAATTCCCTTTTGTTATTAGAAACGTTTTTCTAATCCCCATGACCGAACAACGAATAGCGCTTTCATGTTACGTAGTATTTTCATCGATATTACGAAAATAAGATTTTACTGGCTATGTAAATATTATATATTTAGAAAGGACGTAAATACACAGCGACATATCATACGAAGATATTAACTATAAGAATCTCAATACAGGGCATGAAACTTTAAATATTTGTTCATTATTGGGTAAATCTCAATAATCGCATTCATAGACAAAATGTTTTTATAGTGCTAGAAGATCGAGAATAATTCATGATACAATCATCAGTCGCATCTGATCGTATACAAATTCTTCAATATATCTACCTAAAGCAAAAAATGTGCTAGATTTGCCAAATAAAGTCGAATGGCCATTATTGAATCCCATAGAACTGCTAAGTTTCCATGCCTAATTTCGCTAGATTAGCTGAATTGGTATCGGAAATTGCACAGTGAAAAATTAGAAATGCGAGGTAGACAAAAACATCCCGTTATAGAAGTTTTTGCTCGCAAGGGGCCCTTCACACGGCCCCTTCAAACAAGTCTCTCGACAGCCATTGATATGCAAGGAGTGATTAGTCGGGAGTGTTTCTGGGTTAGAGTTGACCGTGCTGAACGTATTGCATTATTCATTTTCTTTTACAAAATCGTCGCATTTTCTTCCCCATATCTTCAAGTTATCTGAAATGTAATGTACAAAGGGTTAAAGGCCTAAATTTGGAAATATCATTTGATTTCCAAATAAGATCTAACATTTTATAGCATTCCGTCAACCAACCCAATGCTTTTGCAAGTTGGAAAT